GATTCAGTGCTCTTCGCCAGTAATGATCCCTTATGGAAACGAACACCTTCTTCCATTTGAACAAATGTACTAGAATTCGAATCTTTGAGAATCCCAACACCACCCATAGCTCGCCGAACCTTTTCTCGTTCTTTAGCTTGTTCAAACAAACCTTCATTTGATGCCAATAATGAACCTTTCACAAATGTTACGACCTCAGCTTCAGGTTGCTTGATAGGTGGAATCTTTTCGTCATAATCCAATAAAGAACCACCTTTAAACGGTCCAGAAGATTCCTTTTTCCTTAAATCTTCAGACGACTCCTTTTTAATTGTAGGTACAGGTGGTATATGATCCACCAGAAAATCATCTAGACCCAATAATTTACCCGAAGGATTACGCATATGATGGCGCAAAGTTTCGCTTGATTGCTGGACAGTTGTTCCACTCTGAAACGGTGAAATTGGACTTTCTTTCGATGATCCATTAAGTGCTGCTAACTCGAATGTTATTTCGTTCATTAAAGAAGTAGACTGCAAATTTTGGTAAATGAAAATTTTTCAGTCATTATTGCCAGAATAGTGTAAGTGTGTGGATACAATAAACAAAAAAGAAAAACTTAAACCTCTTCCACAGTTACAGGTAGCGCATTAGTTAATGGCATATCAAGGTTTATTGTGACCGGGGGTTTGTTCTTTTCAGGTATTCCGACAAATATCTCTGGTCTTTCCTGACGCATTACATTATTCTGAAGCGAAAGATGAAATATGTTTAGAAAAAGCTGGATATAAGAAAGGAAATATAACTTTAGAACATACCTTTGCCGCCCTAATGCTCAAAATCCAGTTGTTCATCGCTTCCAAACTTTCAGCACAAAGGAAGTGTACATAATCATTCTCAGGATTTTCAAACATGGAAATTTTGTCTTGAGATTTTAGTGCAAATGGATATTTTGTCTTTGATTTTTTTGCAATTTTAGTGCACGCATACACATCGAAGCTCACGAATGAACAAAGGAACATTTCATCCTTTCCCTGCAAATATAAACGTATAAGAATGAAACATGAACGATTATATATTTAACTATAAACCAAAGCGTACCTTCTGATCCTTGCTGTGGTATAACGATCCATCCTTTATGTAAAAATAACGTTTTTGCCATTTGTTTTTTTTCATTTCAACGTGCAAAATGCCGGACATTGGTGGCGTCGCATTATTAAAACCCTACAAATTTAAAACCCATTGAAAATAATGAGATGCT